GGTGCATCACAAACGCAGCACCTCCATCCTCATGCGGGCAACGACAATCACATTTGAAGTGCTGAACTATTAAAAATTTATTTTTCGGCTAATTATAGATTTTTTTTTGTAGTTAGATATTCTTAGCATTTTATTGTTAGGTTAAAAAATATTATATTAAAATTTATATTTATTTATTCTAACATTGTTGGTTTTATCAATGGTACAAAAATAATAATTTTTTGTGGTGATGGATTATATTATCGTTGGGGTCATGGGTTGTTGGAGATGATGAGGAAGACCAACAAAAACAAGTGAAATAAAGAAAGAGAAGAAAATTGATGACACAAATGTTACGCTCTTGTATCTATATGCATCAGTGCTGATGTAGTTGTTGAGCGACATTGATATAGATGTAGAGTGACGAAAGGATAACGATTTATAAAGAATCGGATGCAACATTCTTTTGTTGGGCTGCAACATGTCCATCCATGATGTCAAATATTTCGTAGCTTGCCACATCAGCCAGGTCACTTGTGCCATTTACCACTCTTTCGATATTGGCTATTACGTCTCCGGCGCATGTCTACAACAGGTTTGCCCCTTTTGTGCTTCTTGCGATCCCAATCCTTCTGCGTTCCCTTCATACTTCGTGGCCTCATCCTCTAGCTCTTGCCTCTCCACCTTCGAGTCCACAAAGATGCCTAAAGTGAAGAAGCCTACAGATCCTCGGTAAATAGCTACAAAGTGTCGGTGTGGGGTGGTTGAGGAGAGGCTGGAGGCCATCCCGCTAGGCTAAAGCTAGAGGATGGGATTACAAAGCGATGTCATTCTACATCTACATCGATGTTGCTCCGTATCTGCATCGGCGACAATGCATATGCAGAGTGGTGTCGCTTTACATCGTCCTCTTCCTCCTATCTCTTTGCCTCAACTCTTGTCACCACTCTCCTTCCTCATCCACAACAGCGACCTGCAACCCCCAACGACATCTTCATCTACTACCATCGTAAACGGAATTTGGACGTTGAACTTAGTTTTTTCCTCATTATTTTTGTGCTTTCATTGGTAAAATAAATAATGTTATGATAAAAGGACTAGATATTTCACTTTGGAATTCTAATATAAAATTTTTAATTATAAAGATTAAAATGCTAAAGAGGTCAAATTATAAGGAGTAATATATAATTAGTCTAATTATTCTATGTAGTTATGACATACTTTTATCCATTAATTTTGTGTTACTCTTAGGATATATGGTGCGAATAATTTACAATCTCTTTTTTATTATTAATAATTTCATTTTTTTTAGCATTTTTAAATTATCTCTGGACGAAAATATCATATCTCTCTCTCTCACTTCTTCCTACTCTTACTTCACTTCTTCTTGTTCCTTCGAGGAGATGGCGAGGACGAAGTGCAGCGACGACGGTGAGCGGAGGGGCGATGAGTAGCGTCGCCTGATTACACCTGCCGGGAGGGGAGTCAATAGCAAAGGGCTATGGGGTGAAGAAAGGGGGAAAATTTGAGGTGGAAATTGGGCCGCCGCCTTCTCCCTTCCTTGCACTCTTCTTTTTCTTCACACGTCATCGGAAGACGGTGCAATTCATCTCTATGCTCCTATGTTGACTTGGGGTGGAGGACAAGTGAGCTTCCGTTTTGTTGCAGTGAGAACGCGCAGAAAACCTTAAGAAGGCGGCCGCTCGGGAACCTAACAGCAGCGCCGCCAAAGGCCTGCTTAAGAATCTTGTTGGCCGCAACAATTATCCCCGCCGGCACCGCCAGATGCAAGACTTCAACAACCTCGGACAGCCCAGGCACACGGACATAACGAGCATTCCATCGAATAGCAGCTGGTAAGCATACCATTGACAAAAAATCTTGCAGGCGATGGTACTCGCGCAAAAAGAGCTTTGGTAACGACGGCCATGGGTGCCGGTGGATCTCGCCGTCTTCGTTCCGATGCAATAAGCGGGGTGATCTGGGGGATCGAGAGACCGGAGGGGCAAAGCTTGGCGTACGCGCGATGGCGGTTCCGCAGGACCCGACGCAGACGTCGTGCATTTGGCGACTCAGATACTGTCATTACTATATAACGAACGAACTCATCAAAATTTTATTGGATATGTTTTATATTTAAAATATTTGTCTAATGGTCAGTGGTGATTTACAAATCCATTTATTTGGGTTCGAAATCCTATTTCATATATTTTGATACCCAGAATATTGTTGATTTGAAGATGATTTACCGGACCGATTCATCAAATATTGAACGTTTGAAATCTTGTCTAATATAATCTATACCTAAAATATCGATCAGATTACTAACCCAGTTCGAAACCTCAATTCATCAAAGGTTATCATATCACCACAAGTTCTTGTGAAGAAAAAAAAAAAAAGAGTGTAACATCATATATATAATCATGCTAATTACATATTACCTATTATAATTAGTGACCTTTTGTATTCCAATATTTACATTTTAAAAAGTTATATTTACATTTTTCATTTCAATATTTACACTTTCAAGCTATATTTGCAACCATATAATAACGAAAGTGAAACATCTAAGTCTATTTACCTTAATGACATCAATTTTACCAACGAAAACAAGAAAATAAAGAGCAAACGACATCGATGCTAGTGGACGACGACACCGCTAGTGTTAACATCGACGTAGTTTCCTGGCCACCTCCGACGATAATAAGGTATGCTCTCATCATAACGCCACTTGCCTCCACGAGGAGCCTGTTGCTAACCTCATCGGCGCCTGCCTTGCACTGCTCTGCATCTATATTAGCATCGACGCAGATGGTGACTGCCTAGTTACCAACCCATTGGGCAAATCCTAGTCTCGATTCGAAGCTGGGGTCGTTGGAGCTCTTGTCGATCCCCTTGCTACTACGTTAATTTCAGCACCACCTCTTGCCAAGCAGCCCTTTCGTCACCTGCTCTACATTGCTTTGCCTCTACATCAATGCTGATGCAGTTACAGAGCGACAATTATGTCAGCATTGATATAGATGGTAGTGGCCACCACAATGTCTACGGCAAAGATAGTGGCTGCCTCGTAGTTGACTCATTGGCAGATCTCATCCTCGACCCTAAGTTGGGGTCATCGGAGCTCCTATCGCTCCCCTCATTGTCATGCCAATTCTGACACCACCTCTTGCCGAACAGCCCTTTCGTTGTTCATCCCATGCCGCTTTGCATTTACATCGATGCTCGACAAGGGCGGGTGACAAAAAGGCTGCTCGACAAGAGGTGGTGTCGGAACTGACGCGACAACGGGGGGAGCGGTAGGAGCTCTGATGACGCCAACTTCAAGTCGAGGTAAGATCCACCCAACAAGTCAGTGGTGAGACAATCACCATCTTCGCTATAGGTGCTACGGTGGCTACCATTATTTACATTGTATTGACGTAGTTGTCGCTCAGTAACTGTATCAGTATCGACGCATATGCAAAGCGGCAAGGGGCGGGTGAGGTCAATAGCGTAATCCAGAGCGTTGATTTGAATGCTACACCGCATCTGATACGACTCACATGCAATTTCTAGGATGCCCCGACGCCATGTGCTGTACGGCTGATGCTACGATGAGCACTATCGACATGGTTGTCACCATTTCCATTGCTTCAAGTTCATCATATTAGTCTGAGCGCCACGTTGCTTAGTCGTCCGCAAGGCAGTACTAATACATAGTAACTGTTTGGATCGCGTGGTTGGATGCTTCTGATTCCAACTCCCGGAGGAGGAGAGAATCCCAGCGAGAGCTTGCTCTCCTAGTGGGCGTTCTAATCTCATGCATATATATATATATATATATATATATATATATATATATATATATATATATATATATATATATACGACGTGGGTGTTTTGGATCAAGTGGCCAAGTGGGCACTTCATTATAGGACCGTGGAATCAGTCTAATGCACCCCAAACGAAGTAACATGTGCAATTGTTGGCTGCTTAGCCATTTTTTAGAGAGAGAGAGAGAGAGAGAGAGAGAGAGAGAGAGAGAGTGCATGGTGCCATGGTTTAGGATCACATTAGCCATTCCATAGCCTTCTATAAGCTAAGCACATGGATTGGAAAACATCAAAAAAAATATTGGGTCTTTCTATATCTTTTAAACACATCAAGGTTTCATGGCACAGCGACATCGAACAATATTATATATATATCTTTCTCACACATCTCATCAGAATCTTTTAAGTTCTTATGTTGGATGTGAGATTAAATCTCATTATCTCCCCTATTTAAAGACTTGAGGTCAATGCTCACATGTATATATATATATATATATATATATATATATGTACATAGTTCAGCTCATGTCATGATATAAATGATACGAGGATTTATATTCGAGCCACACCAGAATTAGAGAAGCCAAATTGATTCCACTATTATTTAGGCTCGTACAACTGTGCAGTCCTCATGGATGATTTGTTTGAGTTTGTTCATGTCATTGCTTAATTTGATGGATGAAAGCTAATACATCATCAACAACATCTCTTTCTTTTTGTCCATATATGATTTGTTTCTACCTACAAGACAATTTCATACTACATAATAAAAGAATGATCATTAAATATCATTTCTAGGTTTTCCGTAAATCCATATGCTAATGCATCATCAATTCATTCATGGTATGAAACACAAGTGATGACTTCGTAGGTGACTCCACACAACTTCCATCTTCCTGTCCACCACACCAACATCTCCATGAAACAAGAGAGCTAAGAGCCATGAAACAAGGTTAAGTTGGCTAAATAGACACATTGGGAGGTCTCCTCCTCCGGACACTGAACAAGGAAAAGAGACAGCTTTTCCTGTTGAGAAATCCTCCAAGCTAATACAACAAAAGCTACAAGTTAGAATCCCCCCAGAAGAAAAATCTAAGACACAGGGATGGTGTAGATTTGAGCATGACAAATCCACCCCCTCCTTCCTATATGCTCTCTCTGCCTCTCAAGTTGCGTATGGAGAAGTAAGTGTCCCTTCTGAATTGTCAGCTTCTTCTACCTATAATATATCCCCGTCATCTGTTTCTCTTTCTCTCTCGTCATATCTCTTCTACAGTGTCAGTCTCCTCTTGTTAGGTTTAGAGAAGAGCCTTGCTGCTCTCTTCTTTCTCTTGGTTAAGGCTCCTTTTCTGCCCTCCTGCCACCTGATCTCTGTCCCATGCTTCCAGATCTAAAAGAACAAGAAACCTATCCTCTCAGAAGACGCATGGAACTTGGCATTGGGTGCAACACCATCAAATCCTAATCCTGCTGCTGCTGCTATCTGGACACATGTACGACTATCTCTGGAAACGGATGGAGAACGACCACGGTGACCTCGGCGACATAGTCCGAGCAGGCGGCCGAATCGGGCCACAGAACATGGAGATCGAGCCGGCCGTCGAGCGGGAGCTTCCTACCGAGGCCGTTGCCTTTCACACCAGAACCGAAAGCCCTACCGACGGCTTCGGCCATCCTTTGGTCGATCTCCGTGACTCTCTACTCGGTCGGAACACAGGTACGGAGTTCTTGGATGGGGCAGAAGCGATGCTGGCGCCGTCCAAGATGGCCATGGAGAGCAGCAGCGACCCTGGAGGAGGTGGGAGGTTTATCTTAGCTCGGAAGGTACTATCAGGCAAGCAGGAGGTCGAGATATCCTGCAGTATCTTCTCGAGCAAGCCTTCCCTGTCCTCACCCGGGGAGATGTTGCAGTTGAGCGGCGGCTCCACAGCCGGCCCCATGGATCACGGCGATGATGTACAGATCTGGTCTCCTCGGAGTAGTCAAGAGATCAAACGCAGGTTCGAGATCCACAAGTACTCATCTAGCCTTCCTGTCATGGGCGAGATCTAACATCTTAAGCATTTCTTTCCTTCTTTAGTAGGTAAGTTATATGAGTCTTGATTTTGTCTTCGGAAGATCTATTCAAAATCTTGGTGTCGATCATCTTATGGATTTGCTCCCCAGAATCTTTCTAGTCTTCCGGTAGTAGGTGAGCACATTCAGACTAGGTTAGTGGATTTTGATGGAAATGCGAGGAGCTTTCTTGTTTGAACTGACCGATTGAAGAGCTGATGGAAATCTAAGGATCCGAGCCATCAGAAGGAGATGGTCTCTTTTCCTCTTTTGTAGCACCACCCGCGGATCAAGTGGTACAGATCTCGGCTAAAAAGAGTTAACATAGACAAGCACCTACAGATTCCCAGGAAATTCTTCATGTCTCATTGTAGCATGCAAGCACAATATTTCCCCCTTCATTCTGGCAAAACATGATCATCCTGTCTCTTTCGTCTCCTGGAGCTCAACATTAACTATTAGGATTTCCTTTTCTTTCTTCCTGTGTGTGCGATTGTGCTCGGAGTTAACTAGACTTGTTTATGTCACAGAAAAAGCCAGGCAAAGAAGGTGGTGTGTGTTCCAGCGCCGGTGGCTGCCAGCAGCCGGCCGAGCAGCGAGGCTGTTCCATCCGATCTATGGGCTTGGAGGAAGTATGGTCAGAAACCGATCAAGGGTTCTCCTTATCCAAGGTAAATTCTTTTCATCATTATATATGTGCACAAATGTTTTGATTCCTTTGCTAATTGCAAAGGCACATTTCGTTACTTGGTAAAGCCGCATTACTTGCTCACTGCATAAAGAAAGAATAAGGTGTCGTAGTTAGCGAAGAACAAGGAGAAGCTGCTTCTATCATTTGATACGATGTTAAGTAATATAATGCTTCTTCACGAGGGAGCACTGACCATTTTGGCTCTTCCTTCAGACCAGTAGCTACGTAAAACCTAATATGAATACACGTGAACTAAAAGATCGATTTCAACTAGTTGACTTTCTGAATTTGTACATAAACAAACGTTGTCTCATCTCTCAGCAAACACCAAGTATTAGGTTGTTCTTCTTCCTTTTCCGGCTTGTGTTGAACATCTATAATGCTGAATGCGAATTGTCATTAATGTCTCTAGAGCAACGCTGATATCAAAAGCATCCGTCTTTTGAACTCAGAAAGAGGTAAGGATTTAGTCTTCATCTTATCGATCACCATCGTGATCAAGTATGATAAGAATACTGTAATCTCTTAACGAGTACTCGGAGCTTTTTTCCTTGTAAAAGCTGCTGAATTCCATGAGCATATATATCAGGGGCTATTACAGATGTAGCAGTTCAAAAGGATGCTCGGCGAGGAAGCAAGTGGAGCGCAGCCGGACTGATCCTAACATATTGGTCATCACCTACACATCCGAGCACAACCACCCGTGGCCTACACAACGCAATGCGCTTGCCGGAACCGCAAGATCGCATCCATCCAAGAATGGCCCCAAGTGCTCCAGCGATCAGGGTGTTCTAAAGTCACGCACGGCTCCGAAGGAGGACCCCATGGAACGTCTGGTGAAGCATGAAGTTGCTGAGATGGAGAAGGCAATCGAACCAGCTGCTGAGGACGACGAATTCCACCAAAGCCACACGCGGATGCTCCCGGAAGAGGACCAGCCGGACGACTTCTTCGAAGATCTGTCGGAGTTGGAGACGGACCCCTTGAGCCTCATCTTCTCCTCCGAGGGATTCATGGAAAGTAAGCCGGATGAAGAGAGGGCGAACAAGGCCTTGGACCCGTTCAGCACGTTTGACTGGGCAGGCAGCTCGTGAAAGGAAAGAAAATGACTATCATAACAGGATCTTATATCAGCAAAAGACCTCAGCAGGAGAAAGACGATAGAGAATAAGGAGCCATTCTTGATCCTACACGGTTCAAGCCCCGAACCTTTTCATGAACTCACAAGGTTGATTGAACATGGCAGCGTGAGGATGACTCTGTTGTGTTTCCTACACATGGTTTTAGTTGTTTAACCGAACAGTCTAGAGATCAGGATTGTAGAAGAAGAAGAGGAGGGGTTGTCATTACCCGCAAGTTTGGGATGTGACAGAAAGCTGATGAGCAACAGAAGCTAGAAACAGTTGCGCCAAGTACAGATGCGCTTGACGTGACCGAGGATGTCGAGATAAAATATATGAATGGCTTTTCTCCTTTCACTCCTCTCTCTTTCCCTCTCTTTCTCGGCCACGGCTTTTCCCAAGTGCGCTAAATAGTTCACCTCTGCTGAGAACAGTAGTCCAGGTTGCTCGAGTACGAACGCCTGGACACAAAGAAGAAGAGCTCGAGGATGCGTAGCAGGAGCTTTAACTTCTTCGACTGTTCCACATCATGTCATGAAATATGATAAAAATGATTCGGGACTCGAAGACGAACAGAATGTGTCACGGAGTTCCTCCGCTTTCACGGCGTGGTGGTTCTCATACGGCAGGTGAGAGGGAAGGCAAATGTTATAATGATGTGATTAATTTCAGCTATTTCTTTGAAGTTGACTACACAAAGCATCCCGTGCATCATGTACATGAAGAATATATTCTTCATGTACATTCACCACCAGCTCGACATTATGATACTTTTAATGGCTCACAGCGATGGCTTACAGGACCACTCACCTACCCAACTTATCAGATAATAATTCATCGCCGTCAATCTGCAGCTTATCAGATCATCCTAATTGCTGATATCGTTGATGACATATTAAGATGATATCATTTTTCAATCATATATGCTTGAATTCGAAATCTAATCGTTTAGGATCAAGAAAATATGTCAGAATCGTAAACAATACAACAATTTTTCGATTGCAATGATCATAAATGATTCATGACATAATTTTTTATTCTAATGGTTACTTGGGAGAAAAGAAAAGAGGAAGCAATCAGTTACAGGCTATCAAGAAAAGACAAAAAGGAGTTATTGCAACAAACCTCGTTCCACTAAACCACACCGCACCAGTGAGCACCGGCGGGGCTCGCCGGCGGCCTCGTGTCGTCGGAGCCGGCGTTAAAGACGGGGTTTCGCCGTGGGTCTGCCAATGGGTGTTCGTGAAAGTACGTCGTCATAGATGTGTTTGATTCAGGAGGAGGATGGGAAGTAAGCGTTCCCCCAAGCCAAATATCCCTGATTCACGCCTCTCCCCCTCGTCGATCGATATCCCTCAGCTTTCTGGTTGGAATCAGAATTTGAGGAGGAATCTTGGGGGTTTGGAGTGTCGAATAGGGTTTGAGCAGAGATCGATGGCGGCCGCGGAGGAGGACGTGACGTACGAGAGCGATCCCGCGGAGGCGCGCTGCCCACGATGCGCCGTAGGGGGGGCGAGCGACGAGGAGGAAGGGGAGGGATCCGACGGGCGAGGGAAAGTCTAAGGTGCATGGCTGGATGCGACGACGAGTCAAGGCGGAGGCTTATGATGACGAAGAGGAATGCTACGAGGAGGAGGAGAAGAAGCGGTGGAAGGCGAAGTTGGAATCGTGCTGTTGTGGCAGTGGGCGGAAGCCCCGGCGAGGGAGATGGACAGAAGTTTGGTAGGAAGCTAGAGGAAATTAAGGACAAGAATCAGGTGGACGATGAAGATAAGAAGAGATGCACGATGATCGATCGGTTCCAGGAGAATGGAAGAGGACGCCACAGGTGATTTTTTCTTTAATGTGTAAAAACAAATAACAAAACATTTATTTTTGTGCTTAGTCTGTAGGTGTCTATTTTCCAGCAGTATCTACTAATATGCTTCACGAACACCATTTCATTTTCGCAAATGTCGAGCTTTTTAGTCACCATTGTGGTACATTAGCGATCAAGACATAGTTGGAAGAACAACATTGGGCTGCAGGTTAGCGGAATTCTCTTATTGAATAATCTATATATATGAGTCGATATTTGACCCGAGAAAGGAATCCCTTAATCCTTGATATAACAGTAAACGCTAAGTACTGTTCTATAGTTTTATGTTGATAGCTTCAGGAAATATGTTTGACTAAGTGTCATCCTTGGGTTGCTTTCCAAAAGTGGTCTAATTCAGTGACATTGGGTGCCATGTTTTATGCTTTTTTCTATAATTACTTTGTTTACTTGTTATTCTATATCCTAGGAGAGATTGCAAAGGACCATTAGCAGCAGTTTCCATTATCTTGCTCTCAAGTCCTTTATGAAATATATGGAATCCTACATAGGACATGATCATAAACAAAAGTTTACTTGTTATTGTGGTTCCATTTACAGTTGTTTGTAAGTGGTTGATTTTTTTCGTTTGCTTGATTCTACTTTTTCTGCCAATGCTTGTTTATGCTTCTATTATGCAACAAGGTCTTGAATTGGGTGAAATATCATCCTGAATCGGATGATGTTTCTTGAGTTTTATACTCTCATCTCTTGACATCTTCTGAAGGCACTTTTTAACTATTCATAGTCTCATCTTCTCTGCTTCTCATCTTGGAGGTATCCTCTGTCTTGCCTGGCATTTGCACTGTTGAATCATATTTCCTCTGATCATGAGTCTTTATTTAATAACCACTATCTAGGCATATGTTTGGTAGGCGCAAATTGCGGGACCCAAAAGATGAACGTGCTTGGGTGCACGATGGACTTAAAGAAATGAATCTGCATGAAACACATAACAGTGAGGTATTTAAATTCCATGCTGATTTGTTTTTTTGAACAATCTATGATGAGGTTTAGGTTCTTAGATATGCATGATGTGTTTGTCTCCTAAAAAGACACATTTCTAGGCATCGTTCTAGAGGTCGTGGTAGTGCCAAAAGCTGGAGTGCTGAAGGTTGTCATATTAGAGGAAACTGACACCACATGTTAAGTATCTATCTTGATGATGGAAACATACAAAATTGTGCTCCATAGACTGTTAAGAGGGAGGAGACCTAAGTGCTATGAGCCTATTTCAAAGAGCATAAGAGACATTCCTGCAACTCAATGCAAAGAGTCATTGATGGATTTCACTTTTATTGTTAATCACATGTATTCATTCTGTGGGATATGCCGCATAAGGGATACTTTGTTCTTCTTGCATTACTTGTCAGCTCACCTGTAAACCATCAAGAGCCAGCATCAGATGATGATATCGGGAAACAGTCTCCTCAAGCTGCAAGCGTGCAATCAGACCATGTTCTTCCATAGAAGAATACATTTGCTTCAAGCGTCAATTCTGTCACCCTCAATTTACCCCTTTGGGTCATCCAATCAAGACACAACCTTGACCCAGAAAAGGGCTGTGCAAACTGGAAGTACCAATAAGGCCATTTCGTGATTGAGAGGGATGGAAGAAAATGCTATTACATCCCAGTCTAACTCATCGATGAGATATGGTTGGCCATGATAGGTTGTATATGGACGATTCCCTTGATCCGGCTGCAGGGATGACTGCAACTAACTCTAGTCTCCAGCCTTTAGGATCTTTATTGCCATTAAAAAAATTATTCAGTCTGCTAGTTGTAGGGTTCAAGTGAGGGGCTTCAGTACTGCAGGACCTCCAGATAGTCCCTTCAGAATCACCAATTAGCCAAGTTGGAAGAGTTGCTGCTCAAATTAAACCTATTTTAACTGAACACGGCCGGTCAAAGTTCCAACACAATCTGCAATGGGAATTTCAACTCAGCAACTGGTCCAGTCCCCTGTGATGGAAATCAAGCATTAGCTTCTCTGCCCTCATCTGCCAATTCATCTCAAGTTGGAGAAACTGATTCACCTCCAGGTTCAAGTAAATCAAACATCTCACTGGGGTCGAAAAGCTAGGATTAGCAACCAAGCAAGTGGAAGCGACTCTTTTCTGTATGGTGGAGCTCAGGTGATTGGAGCAACTGGAGCTATGGGCCTTGCCTACGGTGATCAAAACTTTCCTGTCACTCCAGTACATTTACCAGGTCAGTGTTGCTGTTATGAGACTGCCATAACTTTCATCTTTATTTTTCTTCTGATGCAATTACTTGACATGGAATAGCATTAGTTGTTAAAATTTTATATGCTGATTGATGCTTTCTATCTACAATTTTTTGTTAAATATTGTTCCGTCCGATTGTATTTTCTTATTTATTTCACAGTTACGCAACTTGAGGGTCAGCATCCTGGTACTATTGGGGTTTCTGCTACGAGAATTGCTCTTCCGGGACATGTAGCTCAGCAGCAACTAGGTTTTAGCAATTCTGAAACCACTTGGTATGAATTTATATTGTAATCGGCCAATATATTCATGTGGTTTCATTCTCCATCGTCTAAACTTACATATTCCTGAAATAAATCTTTTAAGAAATTTATTGTGCAGAACATTTGTTAATACTACGTTCACTGCTTGGACAAGGTGATCCTATGTTCCAGGCTGTGGTGGAGGCTCGTCCAAATGATACGGTCGGTGGGGAAGCTTTTCTTTTAAGAGTTCCGAAGCAATAACCGAGATCAATCTGCAGTGGCGTTCTACTCCTTTTTTTGGTTTCTTTGTTGCTATGACTGTTGCTTGTTGAGTGGAACATTATGTTGTTTGAGTCTGCACACATTAACTTGTGCTCTTTTGGTTAGCTAATATGACTGTAGTCACAACCTTGCCTGCCTTAACAGAACTTGTGACGCTCGTATTGAAGAAGGTTTGTCTGAACTTGTGCAGGACCGTTCCGTTAGCCTTGGGCTTTAGATTTAGAGTTGCCATGCCTCTGCAGCGAACACGGGCCTCGTTGGTTGTACGGACCAGCTCGAGGCCATCAGAAACTTTCTCGCTTGGCGGAAGAGTGGGCGCACAGATGTTGTCGGTTGCGTGGACTCGGGCCAGGCCCAATTACTTCCGCGTTAGAATGCGGCCGCGAGTCCACAGCCACACATGTAGCGTGCCTCCGCAAGCCTTACGGATGTAAGCGGTGGAAACTTGAGGTCCATACGCCTCTTCTCTCTCCCTGTATCGCTTGAGCGAGTGCCGAGGATGCAGCTTCTTCAAACCCCTCCCAGTGGACTTGCCATCTCAACACAGTCTCCCCTACCCAGAAGCGGTTCTACTCACCGTCATATTTTCCACCTTCCCGACGCTGACTCTTGATGTGCTTACGTTGCATCCTGTTCTTGTGATAGGTGCGAATTCCTTGAAAGCCCACCGGCTTTCCTCCACGCTCAGGTGTTCCTCCTCGGTTCGCGTCCACCGACGCTTTGTACGGCCTCCTAGCCTCCCAAGAGCTTCTTCCGTTGAAGGTGCTGTCTCCTTACATCGCTTCGCTTCCGTACCGTTTCGTGGATATGCTTTCTTTGTTCTATAGATTTCCCCTTACAGCCAGCGCGTCAGTGGAATCAGTGGACGCAGCCAAGAAGGAAGTTCTGGTGGCCTTGTCCCAAATTATCGATCCAGATTTCGGCACGGATATTGTATCGTGTGGTTTTGTGAAGGATTTGTTCGTTGATGAAGCTTTGAAAGAGGTAATTCTGGGCATAGACTTTGCCTGCTCAATGTAACGTGATTGAATAAAGTCAACAGAGTATGTTTATCCTGTCTCTCAGGTTTCATTCCGGTTGGAGCTAACCACGCCCGCATGTCCAATCAAAGACATGGTAAGGGAGACTTTGCACCTGTCAGCTATTCATGAACCTCTTGATTTTTTCTCTCAATTTTCCGAATTTTTTAAGCAATGAACCTGCTTGATTTGAATTCCTCGAGGACAATGCCATCACGTTACACTTCGGCCATGCACTCTTACTGTTGTATTCATGACTGATTCCCGTCTGAACTTAACATCTCACTTGCTCTGATATAGTCGTGCCATATCTAGCGCTTTTTTTCTTTTTTGTATTTCTGGAAGCATCCATTATACATCTTCCATGAACCTGTATTAACTAGTTCTAAAAGCAGCATTGTTTCTGGCGGGAGATAGTGAATTATTAGTCAAATATTGCTATTTTTTTATTGAGTTGTTTGGCAGATGATTTACTGTTGATATACTAATATGTTTTTCAACTCTTACATTTTGCTATTGTCACATGTTTGTTTTAGGATAACCTTACTGTCAAGCCTTAGAAATTTACTCTGAATTTTGCCATAAAACCTCAATTCAGATGCATTTGTGTCATATTGTTAGTCTGACAATGCTTCTTTCAAGAATGTGTCTGATACTTTGATAATTGACCAGTTTGAACAAAGGGCAAATGAGGTTGTTGGAGCACTTCCTTGGGTTAAAAAGGTCAACGTGACAATGTCAGCTCAACCCGCCAAACCGGTTTTTGCAGGAGAGCTGCCCAAGGGATTACAAAGAATCTCAAACATTGTAGCTGTCTCCAGTTGCAAGGCAAAAAATTTCAGCACCTGGTTATTTTCCGCATTAACATAATCTTGAATAAACTTTGCATCACATCAGTTTATACAAACATTAATTTTACCGGAGACCTCATCCGTACATAGATGGTACTACTTGTTATATATTCTATATTAGACATTTTTGTTGCTCTTAGGTGACATTTCTAACTTCTATGTACAGGGTGGCGTTGGGAAGTCTACTGTGGCTGTAAACCTTGCTTACACATTAGTTGGAATGGGAGCTAGAGTTGGCATATTTGATGCTGATGTTTATGGTCCGAGTTTACCAACAATGGTTTCACCAGAAAATCGGTTGCTAGAAATGGTACATGTCATCTGCCTCATCATAAGACTTCTGACTCTAGAAAATACACTGATGGTCATGAAACAGCTGGTCTTTATAGAACCCTGAAACAAGAACTATACTTCCAACTGAGTTCATGGGCGTCAAGTTGGTTTCTTTTGGTTTTGCTGGCCAAGGGCGTGCAATAATGCGTGGTCCAATGGTTTCAGGGGTCATCAATCAACTACTCACTACTGCTGAATGGTATGCAATACTTTTTTATACAACAAAAGAGAAATATCTGTTAATTCTTTTACTTTTCATATTTATAATTAGATTATTGAAGTTTATTTTGCCAAAATTGTTAAAGATTAAACATTACTGTTTACAAGGGCACTAAATTAAGCTTATTTCATTGCTTAACAGTGCAATGGTTCATGAGATCAACTCTTCTGAAATGCATATTTTAGTTGAAATATTGCTTTAAACTTTGATGGTTTCACTTGTCTATGGTTCTTTGTTAAAGCATTTTGATCTCTCCAGGTAGAAATCATCATCCATCTTTTAAAGTGCTAATAGTAAACAGGGTCTACTATTTTGAAATGGATAAAGTTCATCATGACCAATTTCACCTTCTGGAGGTATATGATCACATGCAGGTAATTCTGATTGATTTTAGCCAAAATAAGAATCAGCTCTGCCTCCTGTTGAATTTGGTGCATCCTATACCTCTGCACGTTGTACTATATGACCCATTAGAACTCGAACTGTATATCATTCCATTTGGACTTTTGGAACCTATACATATTGTTTCCTGCTTATTCCTTTCAGAGTAACTTATCTTGTAGTAAAAAAGTCTATAGGTAAGAAACCATCAGAAGTAGCTAACGTTATCAGTCTATCCTGCTTGTCAAGCAAGAAAAGGATATTTGAACTTTTTCAATAAATCAACAGTTTCAGTACATGGGGTTCCTTTTCCATGATCATTTCCTTAATTAGGTATAGTTCATCTTGATCTACTTGAGCATACAATAAAGTTTTAAGTCCATGGCGAGTCTATTTTGTGCTTCCTATTGAATACATCACAGTTTGATTGTGGACTGTCAAGATCATCATACTGGAGCCTTGCCCTTTTACATTTGGAAACAGATATAAGTATCATTTTTTTAAATATTTTTGGTTAGTTTTCATATGCTTCAAAATAATCATTTTCCATTTGGGCCCCATAAATTTGATGGTAGCTAGAGAAAGATTATACTTTGTGCTTCAGACCTAGCTAAATACTTATTTTACATATCAAAATCATAACCATGTTAAGGTTCCTTTCCCTCCTGTGGTGACCTACTCATGGTTAATTGTAGTACTTTCTGGTATTATTCTTTTCATAGTCACCATTAAAGCTTTACCCTTAAAAAAGAGAAAACATCATGCTTCTTTGGGTGGAGCAATTTTGTAGAATTTGGCATTCTAATGTTTGCACCATACAGGGGAGAGTTAGACTATCTTGTTATTGATATGCCTCCTGGGACTGGTGATATTCAGCTCACCTTATGTCAGGTAGCCTTTCACACCACTAATCATGAAGTAGACATGTTTAATCAATCCCATTATTTTCTTCCATGCAACTCAGGTTCAATTTCTCTCAGGTTGCTCCATTAACAGCAGCTGTGATTGTTACCACCCCACAGAAGTTAGCATTTATTGATGTTGCAAAAGGAGTTCGTATGTTTTCAAAACTTAAGGTGATTTGTTAAGCATGTCTATGGGACCTTGGTTACTCAGAAAGAGATAGAGGGATTCGATAGTCTTAGTGTTCTGATAGTCAGCCTGATCAATTATCATTGATGCTTGATTCCATGCTACACTATTGGTGTTCAGAATTCAAATCTCTGCTTAATTTCAATTATGGCTAGATCATACTATTTTGATAATTTTTATAAATGTTTGTTTTTGAAGGTTCCATGCATAGCTGTGGTTGAGAACATGTGCTACTTTGATGCTGACAGCAAACGATATTACCCATTTGGAAAAGGTTCGGGTTCTCAGGCATGTGACAAACCGATGATTGGTGTTTTCTTTCTCCCCCCACCCCATCCTTTCTTGAGAACTGATTCTTGTTTTGGTGTGGTCTATTTTATCTTTTTCCTACAGGTTGTTCAACAGTTTGGGATACCATATCTCTTTGATCTTCCAATTAGGCCAACTGTATGTGTTTCATTAAGACCCTAACTTAGTTCTGTGAATTCTCAGAAAGTACAGTCATTTATAAGAATGATATGTATGTTTAAGTTTCATACTTAAAGGCATTGTGAAGCTTCAAGTGACTTATCTAGTACTAGTTTTCTCATACAGTCATGCATGTTTTTAGATATAGCATTTTATGTATTTACACATCAATGAAGCATTGCTGGGAATTAAGCCTTAGGATTATTCGCGTTACCCATGGGTGAGTTACAAACAAAAGTAGAATTGGAGCACACAGGAATACATTATCACAATATCATGGATTTGATTTTTATGACTTGGTGATCTAAGGCCTCCTCTCAAGGAATGAAATGTCATTTCCATTGGCTTTGTTTTCTAACTTCATCTTCCCAAATCAAG